GGGATCTCAGGCGACCAACACCTCGTATGGGTGTGGGCATATATCTTACCTTCCAGGTCGCCTAAACATCGACGACTTTTCCGGCGTCGCAGATCTCGAGAAAAGACGAACACATCTGGCCGGCACGGTGGTAACCTGGAGCAGGTATTTTCTCGCCCGATCTCCCCAATCTAGAAACATCTAGGAACGCGAGAATGAAACAGGAAGATGCAAAAAAGAAAGAAAAATTTTCGTTAGATGCAGAGCCCAGTTGCCAAGCCGGTTTAAAGTCCGCGGGTACATACATTCTGTGTGGATGGGTAGATCGACGATCATGGAGGAAAGCCAGCGCCGATGCGGCACTGCACGCAGCTACATGCAATACGGGGGAGCGCAGTGTCTGCGATGGTGCATCTACACCAACCACCGCCCAACCCGAGAGCAGGCCTGCAGGTGACCCCACTGCTCTGGCTGGGGACAGTGAGAATGTCCAGGTGCGCTTACGGGTGGGTGTGTCGCAACGAGGCCTCTGAGAAAGCTTCTGGAAGCCGACGAAGAGAGGCAAGCGAGTTGCGGAGGCGCCGGGCAAGGTGGCCCACCTAGCTGGGATATCCCTTTCTCAACACCGAAATAGCACAATTGGGTAGGGTATTCTCCCCCATCCTCAATCTTCCCCCCAGGCTTAGCTCAGCCTGTCCGGTCCACGCGACGCTCCCATGATCCATCGGGTCCATTACTCAGGACAGCCACGCTAAGCAGCTGATCAAGCGACGGCTAGTCGACAGCACCCCGGGGATGACGAAGGCGAAGAAATGGGGGGGCAGCCAAACAAAAAGGAGGCAAGTTTTCAGCCACACCCAAGTCTGCATGGAACCCATCTGCAGGTGGACGGAAGCGGACGGTCGAGAGAGGAAGCAAGTCGCACGGTGGAAAACTGGAGTGCATGATAGGCAGCTCAGCACACCAATCCAGCGAAAATCGTAACCGAAGGTGGGTAGGTCCGAGAGGCGAAAGAAAGTGAGCGCCGTCACGGGGACAGCAGGCCGAGAGGGAGAGCCAGCGAATCTCGGCACGAAGTCGTCGCGCAACTCGGGACGAGGTGTACTCCCGGAGAGGTTTTATCCACGCGCGGCTGGCCGTGAGGATGTTTCGTTTCTGCCCGTCGGTAGTTTTGTTCACCTAGAGTTGCAACGCCAGGGACTGCGAGCGGCTGGCAGTTATCACCTACCATACTCGGTTGCGCGCGCCATTGGAGGACAGCGTTTCAATGAGGTCGGGGGGGGGGGGGATGATGACCGCCTGCAGTTCTATCGCATACATACGCCCCCCTTCCCGAGCGAAGACAAATAAAGGGCGCTCACAAGCTGCGCAGAGGCGCTACTCAGTCCCACGTCCCCGGCTGCGTCGAAATGTGTCTTAGGAGCTGATTTACTAGCAGACTCGAGAACGAGGTTCACGATCAGCATCTTACCCTCGATAACTTGCAAGCGTCTCCTCCGTCCGGAATACCTACGAATCTATCAGCGGGCTCGGTCAATGAAAGCTTCCCGGTGCCACATCCATCTGCGGTAACCAGGTCGACCCTCTCTCCCCCGTCATACATACCCTGCATTCGGCTCCCAACAAGAAAAGAAGGGTGGCCGCAAGGTCGTTTTTCTAACGCCAGCATTGCCGCTCCTCCCCCCCCTTCTTCCCTTCCCAAGGTCGCCTCGCAGTGCTTGGTTGCCTGGTGTTTCGGGAGTTCCCAACGGACGTCCTTGTGGGCATGGTATTACAGACGGCCCGGCTCCTTGCTCGGCAGGGCAGCGACTACCACGCCAAATCAAATCATGGATCTCCCATCGCCGTGGGTATGCGGTGAGACGAAGCAACCCTTCGACCCATTGCCTACGTCCATTGCCGTGGCCAGACGCCACGGTAGCATTCTTGGACTGCTTCCTAACTAATCGGGAATTCCTGCGGCATCGCCATCTTTTTTATTCCTTTCGGCTTTCTAGAAAAAGATTAGAATTGTCGTGCTGACGATAGAACCCCCGGTTGTGACATTCAATCCTAGCTGCGGCTTGCCCATTTGCCTGCCTCTGAAGCTCAGGTCAGGCCGGAACACTGCGCTCGCGACGACTACCGGACATGCTGCGGGTGATCCATTCCACTTTGTGTCTACGAGGGGAAGATTCGTGCAAGGTGAAAGGTGCGGCCCCTGCCAAAAACACTCTATAGGCAGCTTGAAATAGTCCCGAAGTCCAGGCGCCCGCGTCTACCAGATGTTCTCGACCATCGGCTAGATAGAAGGGGGGACTGTAATACGTGGGACGTAGCTCCGGGGAGAATTCGAATGCCGTAAGGGTCTCTGCTCTTAGGAAACGCCTTTTGCACCAAGAAGTCGACTATTTGGTCTTTGTTCATCTCGATCTGGGCCGGAGGTATCGACGTATGCCGCTGGACTTTCAACCTATCTATCAAAGTAGCAGGAGTAGCAAGATGTTACGTACGAGATCAGCCCTTATATGTCAACATACTATGAGTCGTAGAATGTAGGCGCCTACTATGTTTTACGCGACACAAGATTTATAGACCGGACAGGTTCCGACACTATGCTCACCTCGCAACATCATCGTGAACACCTTTGGGGGAAAAAAGGCTTCAAAGCGGCTCCCAGTAGCCTGCGTAATCTAGTAATAGCCGCCTCTTGGCTCTGCCAGGTTCCTCCCCGTAGTGTATTCCTCTCACCAATGTCGTATGCGGCCGTTCCTCGTCCCTAGACTCGGGAGCTTATAGTATCAGGACCGCCAGCAAGGGGCATCTGAATAGATGAGGGGGGCACCACTTACTTAATTTGGCCCGGGTTTCGTATGAACTTCTCTCCCCCACGCCCACCCCTTCCTATCCGACAAGAAAGCAGGGAAAAGGAGAAAGGCAACCGGCGCGAGGCGATGCTTTTCGCGCCCTCGGTCGGTCCTGGAAGTGCAAATAGCGCAAGAGATGCGCCTCAGCTACTACCACCGAGCTACCAAGCGCCGGCAGGACAGTCCTCTGTCTCTCTAGATAGACCCGCTCTCCGGCCAGCCCCACGAGGGCCGACGACCGTCTAAGGCCGGGGGGGGGGGGGGGGGAGGTTGTGTCTTACAAACTATCCCCCCTGACTGACTGACAATGACAGGGCGGACTGCCCTCGCGCGGTCAGCTTCCGCCGCCCTCCCGCCCACCATAGATAGCCGGGCTCCTCAGCCGCGCGAGCGGGGGCGACGCCCCTGAACCGTGTCCGAGACGACCGCCGGCGCGGGGCGGGGGCAGACCGCAGGCAGCGCCTGTCTCTGCCCGGGCGAGGTCCTCCGGCCTCTCGCCCACGCCGGCCGTGGACGCCTTCCGCCGCGACGACCCCGGGCCGAGGCACGCGGCGCTGGGAGCGCGAGGTCGGCGCACCCGCGGCGGCGGAGGGGAAACGCCCGGCGGAGGGGACTGCCGCGGGCGAGGCCTGCGCGGTCGGATCCGCGCATCCCAGCGCACGCCGCCCCACGCCCCCCCGCGCGCCGAGAAGCCCGGCGCCGCCCCCCCCCCCCTCCTCCCCCTCTCCACTTACTCGGCCCGCGCAGGGCGAACGGCGTCGGCCACGCCCCAGGGCCTGCTGCCCGGTCCGTCCAACCTATGCCGGATGCTCCCCCCGCCCCTTTGCCGGATATCCCCTGCCCCCCCCCCCCTTTCCCCTTTATCCACCTCAGTCGCCTCCTCCGCTACGCGCCCGGTCTCCAGCCCCCGAGAGACGCCGCCTGTCGCTCCCGCGCCCGCGTCCGGCACGCGCGCGCTTACACCGTCAGGGGGGGGGGCGACAGAACTCCCCTTCCCCAACCCCTGGCAGCTGACACCAATAACGGTGTTGGTTTTGCCGCTTTCTCGCCCATCGCTTCCCTCTCCTCCTCTCTCACACCAACACCAGCAGAGCGCACACGCCCATGCCCGCGACGACCCAGAGCAGGAGCCCTAGCTTTTCCTGCGCGACAGGCCGTTGTTGGTGTCGTCTAGGGGGAAAGCGTGGGGAGGGAGGCTAGAGAGAGAGAGAGAGAGAGAGAGAGAGAGAGAGAGCAGTAGGCTGGCGAGCCGGCGAGCCGGGAGCGACGAAGAATCGTCGCGTACCGGGAAACCTCGACTTCCTTGCGGTCTCGGGGTCACGTAGGAATATAGTAGTGTGTACATATATAAATATAAACCGTGGGTAACCGTCGAGCTCTTGGTGGATGCTCGAAACATACATAGCTAGTATGCGATCAAGGTCATACTAGTCGAGGTAAGTCTCACTGAGCCCCCTTTTGGGCAAATGGGACGGATCTACTTACTTGTATTCCTCCTTCCCATGTTAGGAAATCTCTGAACGACGTCCTAGGGGTTGGTTAAGATACCAGACGAATTGGGGCTCGCTATGGTAGAGCATATTGCTAGCACTTAAGACATCGGCAGACACCGGCAATTTCCGTATGCTAATGCTTCTCGTGGTTGGTTTTTTAAATACTCTATGTATCCAGCGTCTATTGGACCTTGTGAGAGAGGATGGCCTTCGAGCCGGAATCCTCTGCGAATAGCATCGGACTGTTTTGTTACCGTAATCCCCCCTAAAGCCGCCCGTCGGCTCTTGCCCGGGGCAGAGAGTAACCCAGCTTTCTCAATCTCTTATTCCCTTGCACAAGAAAAAGGAGACGATAGTCAACCGGTCCGCGTTTTACCCCTATCTTACGCTTTATATTACCCCCACGCAGCTTGGTGGCAGTTCTGGGACCCCGCCCACAGCCGAATGTAAGCCCTCGTGTATTCTTATGTATTCTCGACTCGCGCTCCTGGTTGATGACGAAATGCCTGCCCCTTTCTTTCCCCCTGAAGTTCCTGATCGGAGTCCACGCCATAACCCAGTCTCGAAACGCCGGGGCATGATCCAAGTTTAGTGTTGATGCACATTACCTTGGTTATTGTTATGCTATTATCGGTGTGACGTACTCGCCGTCAGGCGTTCGTCTCCTTTGCATACCGGGTTTCTACTGGCCGTTAAACTGGTCATCGATTCCAGCCATGTTAGGCTCGACATTGTGGTAATCAAGAATCTCCGAGTACCTGTTGCCTCTAGCGTGTTAGTCGTCGCTAACCTTGTATGTGCGCATCCGACTGAGAGATAACCAGCCGAAGGGCCCGACGAATCAACTCACATCATGATCTTCCACGTCTCGACTGGCAAGTCGGCGTCGTTGAAACTCCAGTCAAACTTCTCGTCGGCGACAGGTTCGTCGGTAGGATCGTGGTAAGGGGCAAGGTACTCGTGCGCTAGCGCGTCCGCTGCGGTTACTCGCTTCTTAGGGTCGAACACGAGCATGCGCTCGAGAAGGTCAACAGCTGCCAATAGTCAGTTTTAGTTCTTAGGAACTTGGGACACGCCCTTTTCTTGTCACACTAACCCGCGGGTTCGGCGTTTTTGAACTTGTTCTTGAGCGGCTGCCGGTCCCGTTTCGGTAAAGATTTCACGAATCTCAGCGTCTAGCGAAATCTCAAGTCAGCCGGCGTTCTAGAACAGCGCAAGACGTCAACTCACGTTCTCGCTGGCGATGGTGTTGATGACGTCGTCGGGGGGAGTGCCTAGGAGCTCGGTGATGATCGAGAACTGGTTGACATGGTCTTTTCCGGGGAAGAGCGGCTTCCCTTCCAGCATCTCGGCGAAGATGCAGCCGGCGCTCCATATGTCGACCTCTACGTCATACTTCTGCCAGGTAAGCATGATTTCGGGCGCGCGGTAATATCTGGTCGAGACGTATCCAGTCATCTGGGGATCCTGGATTCGAGCAAGACCGAAATCGCAGATTTTCAAATCGCAGTTCTCGTTAACCAAGATGTTACTAGGTTTGAGATCCCGATGAACGACGCCAGCAGAGTGGACATATTTAAGCCCTCGCTAGCAGTCGGAATCCGTCAGTGTCTCCTTTTCCTTGCCACCAGGTTAAGTGTCGCGGAGCACGCACCATGATCTGATAGAGGAAGTATTGGATAAACTGCTTCTCTAGCGGCCTCGACGTGAGCAGTCGGTGCAGGTCGGTACCGAGGAGCTCCGTGACAAAATAGCTAGGTGTTAAGGGTCAGCATATCGAGGCAGAGACTTCCTCTTTCGGAATGTTGTCACGCATACATGTCTTCGAGGGGAGAGATGAAGATGTCGCTGAGAGAGATGACCTGAGGAGCAGAAATAAGTATCGTTTCGTCACGGCGGTTCTCTGGCAAGCGGATACGCCCCGACTCACATTCTCGTGCTTGAGATGCTTCAACAGTTTCAGTTCTCGATACGTGCGCTTAGCTAAGACGGGTGTGCTGAAGGGCTTCATGATCTTCTTCACGGCCACGTTCTGATTGGTGAGCTGATCCTTCGCAGAGCTGTGCAGCGGCGATTTATGTCGTCAGCCGTTTACCTGGGGTCGAAGGTGCCTCATAATGGATAGGCCGGCAAGAAACATACCAAACCAAACCAAAAGCACCCATGCCGACGGGTTGCAAGTCCGAGTACCTGTTAGGTCGTGCGTTAATCTCGGCGATTGACTGGACAAAGTAATATTGCAAAGAGCGCAAGTTACCTGGAGGTTATCTCGAAAGTCGTCCCGAAGATCTGGGCCCTCACGAATTCGGCCATGACGAATGCTTAACGGGTTGCCGTTATTTTTCTCTAGCTCTTACTCTCTCTCTTTTCCTCTGGGGGAGGGGAGCGGGGTGTATCAGGTTTGAACAGTACAGAGCTCAGGGAGAGAAAACGAGAGACAAGAATTGGTTGTTGGATTGCGGCCCAGCGTCAGCTATCAAATGAGGCGGGGGGGAACAAAACGAGGGGCAGAGGAGGCGGAGCGGCGATAGATAAAACCTTGTGTAAGCTCGATAGCTCGATACGGTGTCGTGTAGTGCTTGCGTCGTGTTGCGCCGTAATGGTACGGGACGGTGTCGAGAGAGATTGAATTCGAAGTCTGGTACCGGAGGAGGCGAAGCAGGGTAGGGTTCTGGAGGCGAGGCAAGGGAGGTTAAATAGGAGGGCAGCCGGCACAGCCCTGGGCGGGTGAGGGTGTAGGTAGTGGGCGTGGCCGCGGCAAGTAGGCAGGTATGCAGACGCCGTGTCGTCTTCTATCTGTTCGATGTCTCTCTTTCTCTCGCCTCTTCCTCCTTTCCCCGGCGTCCAACCCGAACAAACCAGGGCAATGTCGCAAATACGTGCGTCAAGCTGGCTTGTCGGTAGGGTCAGGCGGATGAGCGCCGTCGGAAATGCGGTTCGCGGGGGTGACGGGGGGATGATGGGGAGACGGCAGGGCGACAACGGGTCAGAAGAAGGGAGGCTGGCGGGACGGCGACGAGAGTGAGTCGAGGGATGGGAAGACGGGAGTGGGAGAGGCACGGAGAGCACAGATTGGGCTGCTGCGTCGGCTTTTGTGTGTTGTGGATAATCGACGGCTCAAGCTGCTGTTTCGCAGATTTCGATTCGCACACCGGTCAGAGGTAGATAGGTAGTTAGGTAAGGCCCTTTACAAGGGACGAACGGGGGTCTGTAGGCTGGGTCAGTCGCCAGGTACATATAGTAGGTACATCTAAGACCTAAGGTATCGTCTGCTAGAGGTACGTACATGCACGGCTAACTCCATCGACCTCCATCCTCGTCACCCGTCGGCCGGCTGTCCCCTCCAAACTCCCGGTGGCGATCGCGATCGAGGGACTCCATGTAATTAAAAGGCGTACATCGGTACCTCGTCGACGCGCTAACCTGCCCTAATCCCCCCAAGCTGTGGAACCATCCGTAGGTACCTCCTCTCCTTAGGCGGTCATGTCGTGCCGCCGCACACATCTAGCATCGCCACAACGTAAGACTACCTGTATGTGCATGCCTCATACCAGCGAGAGGCAGTCCCGGAGGCATGCTATATCCTGCTGCCGACCTGCCTTCCTCCCCAAGTACCTAGGCACTTAAGGTATGCACATCGGCCAGCAGGTTAGGTTACGTGTAAGTAGGGTATACGACCGGTAGTATAGGAGGCCGTAGGTACTGCCTGCAGCAGCTTATGGAGTCCAGGTGATTCATCATGTGCCGGGGGCGCCTCTGGCGTCTGAGAGATGCAGCTATCGACATCTGGTTGCTTCCGTAGAATCTTCACCTATCGGCGTCCCTTCTGCTGCCTTGGGAGATGCCTTAGGTTCCATCCTAGGGTATACGCTGGGAGGTAGGTACATATTCTAATACTTTACGTGTCTGCGATGTGCCTACCTACCTTAGGTACCTATAGGTGCCTCTTAGGTTACGGAGTCGCATAGCTATAACTGGGAAAAAACTCCACTTTTCGGTCGAACGCCTTAGTTTTATCGTCTATACATACGCCCCTAATGGGAGGAGGTATGTATGTTTGATGCAAGTCCCCGATAGCTTAATATTATATTCGTAATAACTAGTATATGTACGAATAAAGTTATAGTACCGCTTTACGAGCTATCCTTTCGCGAGCCTTTATATAGGTTTATATATAAACGATTTATCCTCGTAAAAAACCGGGGAAAAAATCAGAAAAATTAGAAATTTACTTACGTAATTAATTAATTTAATTAAAGTAATATATAAATTTTTCGAATTTTCTACTTACTAATATAAGAAGTTATTGAATAGGAGTAGCGTGGGCACGCTAACGGAGGCACGAAAAGGGCTACCCAATTACTAATAACTAGCCTAGTGCCGATTAACCTAAGATTATAGCTATAAATAGCTATAATCGGTTAATCGGCTAGCTGAAACGGTAGCTGGGAAAGGAAACTGGAAAGGTAAAGACGAGGAAGGCTAGAAAGGCATGGCAAGAAACGAATAAATGGCTATAGGCTGTGATATCTATAGGTTTAAGTCTGGCTAATGAAAATATAAGTACGCGACCTATATAAATATATATCGAAAAGGCTACGTAGCCTAGATCTATCGCACTACTACATTATATATAATTTAAGGTTTTTTAAAATTATATTAATAGTTTCCTATATAATTTATTAATAACCCTATTAATTATACTTATATTAATATGTTTACTTATTTTTTTTACGGTAATAAAGTAGGTTTATTACTTAATACTTTATTTTATAAATAGAAAAATAGTTAGTATTAAGTAATCTTATTTTTATTCTTTATTTTCGTTTTTATTTAGTTTATTATTTTAAGAAAACTACGTTTTTAAATAGGTTAAACCTTTTTAAAATCGTACCTATTTTTATAATAAGAATTTTACCTTTTCTATTGTCTTATTTTTTCATATAAAGAGGTTCTAAAAAAAAATACTAAAAATTAACGTTTTTAAGACTTAATTAATTTAATAAAAATCACAAAAATAAAAAGAAAAAAGTTTATATAATCTTAATCATTATTTTATCTATAGTATAAAGGATTAAGTAATAAACCTACTTTATTATCATAAAGAAAATAGGTTAAGAAGCCGATATAAAGTATAATTAATAGATTTATTAATAAATTATTAAGGAGGAGCAGAGCGTACGCGATACTAGAGACCCGGATAGGTTTACTCGAAAGTATACTCTATCGAAGACTATAGTACGTACGATAATCTAAGATAAATGAAACTAATGTCGCTATATTAATCGAAAGGCAAGGAATTTAATGTAGTTATCGTATCTTAGCTATGCCCCTTAATCGTAGAAATATAGTAGTCGCTAGTCCGAAGGTATAAGAAGTAAGGGGAGAAAAGAGGCAAAACGTAAAAGTTACTTATTCGGTTATAGCGGTACGACGAAGCGACTTAAGCGCCTATAACTAAAATAAATATATTAATCGGAAAACGACGAATCTAATAATAAAAACGAATCTTTAATTAAGGTAAAAATAATAAAGATAGTAATCTAGCTAGGTAATAAATTAAATAATAAGTATAGTATATCCCGTACTTACGGGAGCTATAGTTACTTTATATAGGCATAAGGCCTATCGTAACGTATTACGTAATATATTAAGAAGGTATATCTTACCGTATTACTATAGCTTCCTTAGTTTAATTATACCGTAAGGGATAATTAAACTAAAAAAGGTAGTACGGTATATCCCGATTAATATCTCCCCTTAAAAATTACCGCGAAACTTCATTTTACCGGCTATTATTTAATTATTATCGTCGTATCTTTAGCTTCTCGTTTAATATTATAAGAAGGCCCCTCTATTACTTTACGGCTAACTTAGCCCGGTTTACCCTCGCCGATCTAGCCCGATCGGCGTTCTCCTTCTTTATTTCGGCTACTTTCTTCTTAGTTTCGTTTTAGCCTTCTTAATTAAGGGAATAATAAAGGAACGGACGCGTCCCGAGGATTAACTAGGTATCTTTCCTTTACCTATACGATATAAAGGTCTTTCCCGATTAAAAAGCCTTAATCCTTTCTAGTCCGGAGGAAGAAAGGAAACGCGTTATAACCTTAACGAGGTTATCGTAATAAAGGTCTACGTCCGTTAATACGAGGGAGTAAAGGGGATTAGGTATTAAGGCTATAGAAAAACGGCGGACTTCGGCTTATGCGATAAACCGAACGGAGGATTTACGGCTAAGGGATTCGCCGATCGGCGTACTTTAAACGGATACTATAGCGTTAATAAGGTTAATTCGCTTTTAATAATCTACGGTTTATTAAAGACGCTTAACGATACCTACCTTTCCCTTTAAAACTCGAACGCTATAAAACTACTTTACTACTTCGGCGTATTCTTTTATAATATTAAGGGAATTAAGCCCCTTATTTTCTTAGGCTTAGCAGGCGACTTCGATCGATCGTTTAAAGATAAAATACGGTAAAATACCGCTTTAAAACCCGTAGCTAAAGCTATCTTATTAGTTTATTAACGCGACGTAATAAGTAAATTAAGGGATTATATTAAGCTCGAGATTACCGTTTTCTTATATTCGCCGTAGCTAGCCGAGCGCGTACGCCGCCTGATCGAAGGCGTCGTTTCTAACTATATTAAAGCTAAATAATCTCCGGAGCTTAGGAAGGTATAATACTACGGTAAAGTAAGCTTAGGAGAACTTTAAGGGGTCGGTAATAATTCGTTCGGGATTTATTAGATCCGTATAGATCGTAAAAACTAAAATAAAGGTAGGATTATCGAAAAGGTACTAGCGGGTTAGGAAGTTAAACGATCTTACCGATCGATAGCCTATCGTTTAATACGGGTTTATTTCGAAGGCCGCCTTTCGGCCTTTAAGGTCGTAACTAGTTATAGTATAAAAGGCGCGGATATCTTCGTTAGTAAGGTAGTCGTAACGGGCGAGGCATACGAAAAAGTTAGCTAAGGCTACCTTCGTTTACTCTTATAGCTATTAATCCATAATTCGGGATCGATTAGTAGATAGCCGGAGGGCCTAGGTTATATCGGATCTTAATTCGATCGGATCCTTCCTCGAATCGTAATTATTTAAAATACTAAACTAATATTCCTCTATATTACTTTAGTTATCTTTACTACTATAAATCTCCCGTAGGAGTTCTATTAAGTCGGCTAGATCGGTACGACGTACGTTTCTATAAACGGAAGGAAGGGAGAAGGAGGGGAGGATTCCGGCGGAGCGGGGGAAAGACATAATGAAAAAAAAAAAAAAAAAAAAAGAATTAGGGAAAGGAGGAAAA